AAATGGGAACTTAATTTCACGTTTTTATATTAATTATAATCATTAAGATACTTTTTATTAATTAACACAAAGTGACTTTTACCAGGATTACCAACGTTTTAAATTGACGTTTAATATAATCTACGTTCTAAAATTGAAATTTTAAATGTCAAATTGACATAAATTTTTCAAAAAAGAAAAATAAACATTAAAATTAACCTTAAAATTTGAATTGTCTTCTAAACTCCTCAAACAACTTCAAAATGATATTTCTGCAATTATTTTAATTAAAAAATTTCGTATCTTCAAGTCATTTTTAACCTACAATTATACGTCAAAAATATGATTTAAGGAGATTAAAAGATGTTACAAATTAAACGTTACATACCTCAACATCCTCCTCTTCATCCTCATCATCTTGATCATCTTGTTTCTCCTTCTCATCATCTTTCGTAATCGTGCACGTCCTTTTCCCACCGACCGTCATAATTTCATTCCCCATCAACATCTCTTTGATATCATCGTGAAGCTTATCCAATTCACTTCGTCTTGCCTTTTTAGCTTTGACAACAACTTGGTGGTGTTTACCGGTTCTTGTATTCATTCCCAATCTTGTATTAATCGCCTTTCTTTTAACGATTACTTTTTTTACGGGATTTTTTTTTGATTTTAACGGAATTTTAACAATCTTTTTTGGTTTCAATTTAGTTTCTTTTTCGGATTCTTCATTTTTATAAACGTATTCATCTACTAGTTCGATATCATCATCTTTTTCGGTTATTTTTTCATCTTCTATTGGTTCGATTTTTTCGATGATTTCTTTTGGAATGTCTTTTGATTCTTCAACATTTTCCGTTTCAATTTTTTTGATATCTTTTTTCTTTTTAGATTCGTTCTCATCTTCGCTGCTGCTATCGCTTTTAAGAATCTTTTTGATTTTTTTATAGTTTTCTAATATAAATTGGAGGACGTCGGTTTCTTCCATTTTTAAATGGTTCTTTTTTATGTCGGCGAGGAGTTCGTTTTTGACTTTTTCTTTTTCTGGGAGTGTTTCGTCGTTTTGGGTAGTTTCTGGTTTTTCTTCGACTTTTACGGTGCTAATTTCTTCGTTTTCTTCAACCTTTTCTTCTTTTAACACTTCCTTTTTTTCATCGATTTTTAATGAATCGTTGTTTTGAGACAACTTATTTTCAGGAATCTCTTTTTCAGAAATTTCACTCAAACTTTCTTCTGACACTGATTCTTTTTGAGAAACCTCTTTGGAACATGCATATTTCAAATTTTTCTTTTGCACTCTTTGACTTCTTCTTTGAGGCGAAACTTTTTTCTCTTCCTCAACTTTCTTCACTTCAATTTTAGGCGCTCTAGTTCTTAATCTTCTCGTTGTAGTTTCAACTTTTTCTTCCTCAACCACAACCTTTTCATCAATTTTAGTTTCAACATCTTCACATTTCTTAACCTCCTCAACACCTTTCTTTTTTTCCTCATCGCTTTCCTCACTATCATCATCAATCTTAATCCTCAACCTCCTCTTTATTTTTCGACTCAAAGGTGTATCTTCATCCTCATCACTTTCATCATCTTTTTTCTCTTTAATTTCATCAACTTTTTTCTCGTCTTGTTTTTTCTTGGGGATTTTAAACTTGTCCAAAGCAGCTTTAGCTTGCGAAGCGGAAAGAACCGGTTTCGGTGTTGAATAAAGCGCCTCTAGGGGTGAGGTAAAAGTTTCCTCAACTTTCTCCGATTTAACACTAACATTTTTGAATTCATCTTCGTCCAAACTCCTTCGCGGCGTCTTTGAGCCAAAACGATCCCTTCTAGATTCAAACCTCCGATCGAAACGCCCTCTTTCGAATTTCGAACGACTTCGATCGCTTCCAAATCGGCCGTAATTGAAATCTCTTTTATTGAAGGAGTCTTCTTCTCTTTCTTTTTCTTTCTCAGCGTCCAACGGTTCGAATGGGTTGAAAGTTTTTCTTGGAGTGAATTGTTGGGGTGGTTGATTTGGTGTTGGTAACAATGGGGATTGAACTGGGGGAGGTTGGAAAAACGGTGTGCTTGATTCACTTCGAGGACGTTCGTTGAAAGGAGTCCGGGGTCTTTGGTGGTGGTGGTCATAATGATCAAATCTGGGATCAAAACGGGAGTGTTGGGGAGTTTGAAATTGTGGAGCGTTTTGAAGGTGTTGAGAACTTTGTATATGTTGCGGGGGTTGAAATTGTGGAGGATTTTGAAGGTGCTGGTGGTTTGTATGGTGTTGGGGACTTCGTAGATGTGAAGGGTTCTGCGGGGTTGGTAACAATCCAAGTTGAGCGCTGGGAACTACATCTTGAGTGTAACCTTAAAGAAGAAAAAAGAAAATTTAGTTTATTAAATCACGTTGATTGAGGCTTAAAGTGTTAAGCGTCATTCTTACTTATTGAACAGTCAATAATTAAAAAATAACCAATAATAGATAAACAATTAAACACAATAATCTCATAGACGCACAATAAACTGTTTCAAATCGAATTTTGACACTTGGAAATTTTAAATCAAAACAATTGGTTGCCATGGTTACGCTCCTGCTACTTTTTATATCAAATGAATGCGAAATAATGAAACTTTAAATTAATTTTTCCGTCCACTGTGTATTTATATGATTTATAAATGTATCAAAAAACCATTCATTAATGACACCTATTAATAAACGATTTTAATATAAAAATCTAACCTCACTTTTAATGTGTCAAAAGTTATTATTGTAGTCTTACCGAATAGATATAGTGGTCGGTATTACAGGTTTCATTCGAGAATATTTACTAAATTGACTATTATATTAGTTCGGTCGGACTTTCTTAAAGTTTGCCAGTTTTCCAATTTTCTCTATTTTGTTGAAAACATATTAAAATGCGATTAATACACTTGTTGGTTAAATAACTATTTCTCGAACATTTTCTTATGTAACCGCTATTAATATTTATTGTACATAATTCAGAAAAAAATCTTCTTTCAAATTCTGATATAAAAAAGGTGATCCAATTAAAAAAAACTTCGATGACGTCATAACCCGTTTAAAAATGGAGGAAAAAATTTAAAATATATATTAGTATATATATTTGAAATGCATTGTATAAATTATACCTATTTTGGTGCTACAGTTGTTTTATAAACATTTTTATCTACAACTATTGAATTATCTATTCGTTATATATTTGATTTTTGACGGATAATTAATGGGAGATTAATGATTGTCATGCCATGACTGACAAGAGTTGAATAAAAATAACTTCGTAGAAATGTAACTCTTTAAATAACAACTTCGTACTAAAAAATTGAACGCATGCGGCGCCATCTATTGGGGATATTTTGAAATTATTCAGCTAAGAACCGAACCACTAAAATACAAGTTGGATCGCGTTTATATATAAAAGCTCCAATCACAGAATAACTGTTTGGAAAATGTAATCAACGTAACAATTAACGTTCCGACTGGTTGGCAATTCCTCAGATGCAATTACCTATAGCAATTACACCTGTCAAATAACGCCGCCACTTTTGAATATCACTGCATCATATGACATTGTATCTGACGAGTTTCCAACCAGTTATAACGTTAGCTGAAATAAAGCTATAATGTCAATTATAATCTAATTATTTAATCATACCATTATTACTTTATTATACTCTTACTGAAAAATCGCTTTAAAATGACGTTTTCATCTGCCATTCTGTAAAAGTTGAAGTTAGCGGCAAATTTAAAAATATAACATGAATTGGAATCTCTACTTTTTAAATTAAAAAAATGATACTGGTAATAATTGTTATTGCTGTCTCTCATCATTCCCATTATTAATAACAAAATTATTAATTTAATTAAATTATTTCGGTATAGACGCTAATACCCTCCAACGTCGGGTTTGTTTAAACGTCAAAAAATTTCACTTGAAAAAGACGCATAGAGATGGCGCGAACTTTAACCAACTTCATTTAGGTGAAACGTCAAAAATGTCACTTGATTAAGTAAGGTTAGAATGGATTAAGATTGATATAAATAGATTAGGTTGATAACGTTTAAACAAAAAATTATTTTAGTCTCAAAATTTTCGTACTTTTCTGCCGATGTAATAAGAAATAAAACTAAAACTAAAGATGTTGCGGGTTATGCCGTGCGTCAAAGACATGCTTTCAAAATAGTGAAAAGTGCTTACATAAGATTAGAAACTGCTATCAAAAAACACAAATTGCTTCCAAAGGACAAAAACTGCTTCCAAAATACTGAAAAGTGCTTGCAGAAGTCTAGAAATTGTTACCAAAAGACAGAAATTGCTTCTAAAATACTGAAAAGTGCCTGCAGAAGACTAGAGACTGCTACCAAAAGGCAGAAACTGTTTCCAAAATACTCAAATATGCTTGCAAAAGGCTTGCTGTCTCTCATCATTTTCACTATTAATAATAAAATTGTTAGTTTAATTAAATTATTTCAATATAGACCGTAATGCCATCTTACGGTGGGATTTCGACATACAATCAGTCCCAAGTTCTCCTATCAAAGATCCTTGAGACTGAATGAAGCCATTATTCCAGTTTTGACACGACCTAGTAATCAAAAAATAAAATATAACAGAAATCAAGCAACCTCGGCTTTGTAGTCTGCATAAAAAGCAGTAATATACCTTGAGTGGCTTGGTATACCATAACTAATTGTATAACAAGATCGCGATGACGCATCTTTAAGCCGAGGCAGTGTATCTATAAAGTTTTATCTTCATGGAGTTTCATAGAAATTGACCACGGTGCGACGAGGAGTTGCAATGTATATTGTTTAATTCTGTATTGAAGTGGTATCAAACTAATGCCTCGGCCGCAAGCGACCTCGGCTTAATTATATAAAATCATACACTTTCTGTCACCAGCGTTGGAACACATAATGTAGAGCCTCGCCCGCAATCGGATTCATTTGTATCAATGTGGCATGAAAACTAATGCCTCGGCCGCAAGCGACCTCGGTTTAATTACTAAGTTTAACCCAGGGTATGTGCAACTCCTATATTTGCAATGTACATTACAAAGCCTCGGTCGCAAACGATTTTGGCTGGATTTATGGTAGAGCCGAGGTCGCTTGTAGACGAGACTTCATATTATGTGTTGCAAAGCGGGTGACAGAAAGTGTATGTTTTTATCTAATTAAGCCGAGGTCGCTTGCGGCCGAGGCAGTAGCTCTATCTGTTACGTGTCTTTATTTTTTTTTATTTATTACAATTTGGGACGCAAACAGGGAGAACATCCCCAGTGAAGCATCTTCACAAAATATCGAAATTAACATTATATTTCATAAAGAGACACAAGCAAGAAATTTAAATATAAAGAAAAGTAGTTACAATGTTTTTACAAAGTTAATACAGAATTAAAGTGGTTCGCAACTAAACAATATCGCGTAATTTTTTGACATTTGTCGTAATTGAGATGAAGTTTATTGACGAGACAGTAGTCATGCAAAGACGAGACAGTTGAGCCTTGATGTTATATTTGTAAATATTTTATTATCATCTGCATACAGCAGGAATTTGGAAAACCTTAAAGCAGGAAGCAATATCATTAATATAAATTAAAAATAAAGTTGGTCCAAGATGGCTGCCTTGAGGCACACCGGAAGAGATGGACTTATAACCGGATAGAAAGCTACCAACCTTGCCTGCCTGACTTCTATCTGATAAATATGAAATAATCCAGTGAACAATGCCATTTGGGATGTTAAAGGAAGAGAGTTTTTGAACAAGAATTTAACGTAGGATACCAAATTAGTCTCAGTCGATCGTCCGGGCAAGAAACCGTGTTGTTCATGAATAAAAGAGTGAGTAATCGACTGGCTAAAGCATTCCTGGACAATTTTCTCAAAAACCTTGGGAATAGCCGAGAGAATAGAAATCGGGCGGTAATTTGAAACCAACTGCTTGTCGCCGGATTTAAAAATTGGGACGACGAAAGCCGTCTTCCACTTGCTCGGAAATGCCCCTTCAAGTAATGACTTCGAAAAAATTAAAAACAGGGGTGAAGACAGTTCACTAGCAAACTCCTTTAGGAAGGACGAAGGAATACCATCTGGATGACTTGTCAAGGTGTGATAGAATGTTAAAAACCGCATCCACAGAAAACCAAGGTGAAACACCCGTGCCACCGGGAATCGCTGAATGATCGATGGTGCCATCTACAAAAACCGACGAGAAGTACTCTTCGAACGCAGATGAGATATCAGGACCCGAGTTCACAGTCGATCCATCAGCAGAAATCATGGATTAATGATTTAGAATTAATGAAGGACCAGATCTCCCTCAGGTTCCCGGACACCCCCGCCTGAACGGAATTCAGATATGCTCTGTGATCAATAGCTATTAATCTCTTTGATCTAGATCGTAAGATAGCGAAAGTCAAGTAATCATTGTGATGACCTGAGGATTTCCATTTTTTGTGAAAACGTAGCTTCTCTTTAACAACTCTAATGGTAGAGCGTTTGAACCAATGAGGAAAGCGTTCTCTGGGTAAGGCGCGCATAGGAACATCTTTATTAATTATATAATTAACACGCTTATAAAACGCCTCAACCATGCTCTCTACGTTCATCCCTGCAAAGACAGACCGCCATTCAATCCTATTCAAGAAATTTCTTATATTTCCAGAATTAGCCTTATTAAAGAGACGGCTAATTTTAGGCCCATCATTCTTTAGTTCTTCTAGTCTCTTTAGTTCTTTAGTATCATTCTTTAGTATACCATGCAAGTGCCTTAGTATACTATAATTATATAACAAGATTGCGATGTTGTATCTTCAAGCCGAGGTCGCTTGCGGCCGAGGCTCCGCATTATGTGTTGCAACACAGGTGACAGAAAGTCTATAATTTCATCTAATTAAGCCGAGGTCGCTTGCGGCCGAGGCAGTAGCTCTATTACGTGTCTTTAGTATATCATGCAAGTGTCTTTATATACTATAATTATATAACCAGATTGCGATGTTGCATCTTCAAGCCAAAGTCGCTTGTGGCCGAGGCTCCGCATTCTGTTTTGCAACGCGGGTGACAGAAAATGTATGATTTCACCTAATTAAGCCGAGGTCGTTTGCGGCCGAAACTATGGAATTTGCATTACAACCACTTGAGTTGCAATTTAGAATAGAAATTGCATCACTTCATCTAATTGTTATTAAAATTATTTAAACATTCTAAAAGTTTAGGACAAATCTAAGTCCTTGATGAACCTTAGTATTGCTACAAAGTCTTGTCAGTATAATAATAATGTTTTAAATGCAAAATTACAAAATCTCTAAAACAAGAAAATAACATAGTAATAATAATAATCTCTTTATAACATATGTTCAAAGTGCTGTCCTTGCATTTCGACGCACAACTGCGCACGATGAATCCAATTTAACGATAATCGTGGACGTATGTCCTCTGTAGCGGCAGTGATGCGATGTCGTAGTTCGTCGATTGTATTAACCTCGGTGGCATATACTCTATCCTTCATGAATCCCCATAAAAAAAAGTCCAATGGGTTAAGATCGGGACTACGTGGTGGCCATGGAATAGGTCCACCTCGACCAATCCATTTTTGCCGAAAAGCATTATCGAGGAAATCTCGTACATTACGACTAAAATGTGCAGGACAA